GTGTGAAATTGCAGCCCATGATGCTAGAGGATTCATTACCAACATTGACAAAACAGCTCTTATCATGGATTTAAAAAATGCCTTTATCTAGGTCAGAAGCAATGAAGTACTCCATGCTTTACATCATTTCTCTCCGTTCCATCCCATTTGTACATTCATGTTACAGTGAAGATCTAGTTATTTGCAGAATACAAAATTAACTCTTGTGAAGATACCCAACAGGGTGACTCCCTTGCCCCATGCTTTCTGCTCAAGTCATCAAAGAGGTCAATAAAAGTTTGTTCAGTTAACTTAACATTTGGTTTTTGGATGATGGTACTCTGGCAGGTCCCCCAGATTCCCTTTTAGAGGACCTCAAAATAATTCAGAAGCAAGGAGCCAGCCTTGGCCTCACCCTGAACCCCTCTCAGTATAGAATAATCTCCTTCAACACACACCACATTCTGTGATATTTACATAACCAATCCTGAAGATGGCACACTCTTAAGAGTTCCTTAGTAAGAAAATCACTGACCTGAAGAGAATGGAAAAGTGGACTCAAGACATCGACGCTCCAAATGCTCTTTACCTACTCATCGCATGCTTGTCCCTCCCCAAGTTAACATACTTAACATATATTCACAAACTCATAACAGCCCCAAGCTAGGTGAATATGATAGCTTATTGAAATTTATGCTATAAAAAATCCTTAACCTTTTGCTCGATAACCCAAAATGAAAATAAGCCAGCCTTCCCATTAAGACTTTGGGGCCCTTTGTGTATGCAAAGCCACCTAGATCACTGTACCAGCCTCCCTCTCTCCTCCTTAGCCTCTTGTCAACCTAGTGTAGGTAAATGTATCAGATTACCTAGGAAACTTGGTAGGGGTACCAGATCTCAGTTTTATACATTACATTGCTAGGAGGGTTTCTCTCGCAGCCGCTACCATGCAAGATCACTCGCCTCATGGTGGTGGTTCCCCATGTAGGTGACCCCTTAGTGATTTCCATGTTAGCAACAGACATGCATCTCAGACGAAAAGTCCTCCACCTTGCTCTAGCAATCCACACTGAACACAGGTGTATTTACAGAAAGGCAGAGGTTGACAGGTATGGTCAGCATTGCCTACTGTGCCAAAGCACAGGGGGCTGGCACTAGAGGCTCAATGAAGTTAATGACATATTAAGGAATTATACCACAACTGGCTGAGAGACTAAGACTCATTTCCTTATTTAGTCTGCATTTAAGTTGCAGACTAAGTTCTGCAACGTATAGTTGTGCTAGTCATCCAGATAGGATTACAGTGTGGGATAAGATGTGTGTATCAAACCGAAACTTCACTGACTTCAGCGTTAGGCATCCAGTTAATGTGGCTACTCATAGAGAATCAGTCAAGTTTCCATTGATTTGAAGATTTGGGGCTTTGGGTCAGAGCAGGAGGGAGCAGAGGATGAAAAAGAAGCAGGCATAAATTAATGAGCAGAAAGAAACAAGACTAGCAGCAGTAGAGAGAAAGAGGAGCTAGAAGAAAACCAATATTAGTAATAGAAGTAGAATAGTAGTAATGGTATAACTCACAATCTAGACTACAGTAATTTTTTGCTTACAAAACATTTCTTTAGAATCTGCACCTGCATGCAATATACAATATGACCACAGATACTGATGCAAAAGTGTCAAACATCTCCAGCATTGCCCTAAGATTTGTACTCTTACTTTAAGTCTCGAATGCTCTTAACCTTCCCTAATTTTAAATAAATTGGATAATAATGCCATTGTATACAATTTCTACTTGTATCACAGCATGCTATAATAAATTGCCTATAGCTTAACTTTTAAACACTCTGCAGGTAACTTATTTTGGCAAATCTGCCTAAATTTTAGTGCATAAAATGAATGATAGATAAAAAAATGCGACAAATATTTCTTGAGTGTACATATCATAATTATTTAGGTGTTGCATATATGAATGCCTAATTACATACATATGGGATGGCGAGTGTGTAAAAGTCTAGAAGCCTTAAAACGAAAGACCTGGGTAAAAAGACATTGTACACACACACATTTATTATTTATATATATATATATATATATATATATATATATATATATATATATATATATATATATATATATATATATATATATATATATACATACATACATACATACACACACACACACAGTAATAGTGTGTATGTATATGCATATAATTTCCAGCAGCTTTTATGAATGAAGTCTACCCATGATACAAAGAGCCCATTTCTTGCTCTACTAAATAGAAATACACTATTCAACTTAGAATAATAATATTTATGAACATTGAGTGTAAGGGGTTGTAATAATTTCTTAAAAAATATAGACATTGAACCTGGTTAAATGTTCAAAATGCCAGCTTTCAACGATGTTCAGGGCATTCTTTATGTTAATGTATATAACAACTGTATGTGGCAGTCTAAAAACTGTCTCGCATTCCAGCTTCATTCTGTTTAATCTTAATGGCCTAATTTATGAGACCAGGGTCATCTAGCTGAAGATGATTATAGTTTTAGGACAGAAAATATAAATAAGAACATTTCATTTTAATAACTTAGTTATCCATTTCTAGAATTTTTACAATTTAGTTAGTATTAAAAAAATTTCCAGCTCTCTGAATACAAGTAGTAAAATCTGAATAGAAAATCATTAGTGCTTGTTTTACAGCAGCACATTTAATTTAGGTTATATCATTACATACTGACCATTTTTTTACTATGAATTCATACATACATGACCCAGTGCATATAAATTCTTGGTTTAACACAGCAAAAAATCTATATACTGTATACATTAAAGTCAGGTCAGGTGTCCAAAGTAACTGAGAATGGGATATAAATTTCAATACCTGAGCTTATTCAACTATAAGCCATCAATATACCAAACTACTGTAACAAGTTTCATGCCAAATTAAAATAATTATCATTAATGTCATTAAATAAAATTTAGTGAACAAACTTAACAAAAACAATACATTTAAATAAAGAAAATTAAACTGTTAAAAACCTATGCAAAACAGTATGCACTGTAAGTAGAGAATTACAACTGAAATTATAGTCACACTTAACAAAGTTTATTACAAAAATTAGGCAAATCTTGTACTTAAGTATCCAAATAATCTCTTATAAAGTGTGAACATGTAATATATGATGGAATAGGTTGACAAGATGTCCAGAATATATCTGCTGGCTATTAGCCAAGTGCAATAACTTACTAATCTTGATGACTGATGCAGCATAGAAACATGTAAAGAGAGGGATAGATGTATAAGGTGAGTAAATGAGAGAAAGATTGAGTGGAAAAAGCAATTAAGGGGTGGGTGACATGGGTAAAGAGAGGGGGATAAGAAAGGAGTGGGGTTGGATGAGAAATGAGGAGAGGGAGTGAGAAAGAGGGGAAAAGGGGGAGTGTGAGAAAGAGTGATGTGAGAGAGGATGACGGGAAAAAGAGAGAGAGAGAGAGAGAGAGAAAAACTATAGTGGATTTTTTTTTGTCTCGCAGCCAGCGTATCTTAAAAAAAGAAAAAAGAAAAAAGAAAAAAGAAAAGAAAAATGCATCTTCAAAATCAACTGTGTCAGCAACAGATGAATCTTCTCATGATGATTTTGACTTCTACACAAGGAAAAAGCAATTTGTTAGTGGTGAATTTTCCTTTTTCGTGAACAGGTGACTGAATTATGAATAAATTTAAATGGAAAATTGTTTACCAATTTAAAAATCAAAATTGCTATAATGTGGTATAAAATCTTGTTTTGTAATTTCAAAACAAGTGGAAATTATAATAAAACAGAAATAAGAGGACATTTAAGGGGTGCCCAAATCAACTTTACTCTTGAATGATGTTTTCAGATTTAAGGCTAAGTATGAAAGAGATGTAAAACGTAACCATGGTTATTAAAAACCACATTAAAAATCATTTTAAATAATTGTTTAAAACAATTTCAGATTTACAAATTTTATTGCAGTCATTTTGATGGTATCATTTGGAAAGGTTAGCCACAGTTCTACACTATACTGTACTTCTGTTAGATGAAATTTCTAATTTGTTTCCTAATAAAAAAAATCACAAATTTTTTATTTTAATTTTTGTTTACCTCCAAAATTCTATCACAAAAACAGCTCAAACACAACTCTAAAGCCTGCCAAGCTATGTATTATGTGAAAATTTCAGCAAAATTGGATGAAAACTAAAAAAAAAAAAAAAAAAAAAAAAAAAAAAAAAAAAAAAAAAAAATGAAAGTGGGTGTTTTGAGATTTGAATGTTCCTGCCAAAAATGCACCGTAAAAAATCCTCAACAATATCCGCTTTAATTATATAACATACTATATAAACACTTTCTAATTACTTGTATTTAGTTTATCTGTTTATAATTTTTTCATAGCAAATAACAAAATACTAGTTGGCAACTAATCATGAGTGCAAGATTTTCTTGTCGTAAGAAAATCTAAATAAAATAGTGATTAGAATCAAATAATTTCCATCAAATAAAGCTGAAAATGTAGTTAATACTTTAGGCTTAACATATATATATTATAATATATATAAATATATTATATATATATATATATATATATATATATATATATATATATATATATATATATATATATATATATATATATATATATATATATATATATATATATATATATATATATATATATATATATATATATATATATATATATATATATATATATACAGTATATATATAAAAAAGGGAAGGAGGGTGGGGACCTTAATAGAACACTGGCTGGCAAGAAGGCTAAAATGGCTGGATATTTAGCAAGAATTAATGAATGGGGCAGGTATATTTATCAAAACATAGCACTACCATAGTCTTTAAATTAAAGACATGTTATTATCAATTACAACAGCTAACTATATCAAAAGGTTGTATTGTACCTATCATTATAATAAGTTTAATTACTAAATGAATATCTTGCAATTCAGGTACAACTTAACACTTGAGTAAAACAATTTGTTACTCACAATTTCTTTGATAAAAATATACATGTAAGGCCTTTACAAATAGAATACTTGCATATATCATAATTAGTAAAGAGGAAACACCACACTGGTGCTAACCTGCACTCGGTCAGTATACAAACCAGAGATACACACAACACTATTCAAATAGCAAGTGTTTTCCGAATATATGATGCTGGATAGTTCTCCAGTATTATAATGGTAAAATTTGTTGTTTACCATACGGCATTTATGTAAATAGCAGCTACTTCAATATATATATTATATATATACACACATTATATACACACACATGTACATACGTACATCACACACACACACACCCAGTATTATATATACACAGTATATAAAAAACAATAATAGTATCATCTGCTTCACTTCCAGCTTATGCTCATATCCTACACCATGCTGGCAGTTTACATGCAACTTCAGCTATTCCAAGAACCTATGTACAGTACTGGATTCTTGCAATTCAATCCACCATTGTACATTCCAGGTGTCATGTTATCCAAATGCGAGGCATTTACATCTATACTTTACATTCCAGTTTTTAAATTCATTCAAAACTGCCCATGGCGTTGACCGGAACCTGAAAAATCAAATAATAAATGTAACGAAATGCCCTTTTTCTGGTAGGGTCCTCAGTAGCTCCCTATATTATGTGCTGATACAGCAAAGTATGAAGGAAATGCACCGGGGTCTCAGAGATGCCACTCTTGGCTACCATGAAACAAGACCAGAATCTAGCTCACTCTCTCTGATGCAAGGGATCTTGGGGGTCAGAGATCAATCACATAGAAAAGTACCCAACAGAAAGCATAAGTACAGTACAATATAATTGGGCTGCATAGTTTGGCTTTAAAACTCTCAACCTCCTAAAGAGAAATTAGCAAGTACCCCCTCCCCCTTGCAGAGGGCTGAGAGAGGGTGTGATGGATAAAAGGGAAATTGGAGTGTGTGACAGCTAGCTAACCAGTTGTCGGTTCGCTCTGTATACATAACAGCAATGATCATTTGCCTTATAACATATACCTAATTTTATTCAAGCAGTGGGCTTTGATGTATTTAAACTTTTCCTTTTGTTTTAGGTTCATCTGTGATCCACAAGCTTCATTGCTTTGTAGGGAGCCAAATGTTGGCCTTGGTTCCATTTAGCAAAGGGTTGGTCTTGGAGGTCTGGTGCATCACCTTAATGCTTGGCTGGACTATTATTTAGCTCAGAGGGCTACTGAGGAGGTGCCTTCACAGAACAAAATAGAATTATACATATTATAAAAGTGCACTATTTATATATTAAACTTTAAAATATACAAAAAATAAAAAATACAATAAAAAATAATAAAAATTTATGATATTTAACAAATAACTAAGCATGTTTCCATCACAGCTGATTGAGTGAGGTATCTGGGTGTACCTCACAATGCAAGCAATATTATGAATATTATTAAACAATAATGCTCCCTCTTTCCCTACACACCTTTATTACAATATGAACACATTTTACAGAGGGAAAGAATGAGTGTGGCAGGAGGGTAGGCGAGTGATGATGGGGGGAAATGAGTGAGAAACACCCATCTACTACAGACAACCACCTCGTTGCAAGTGGAGAGTTCTTACCTATATGTTCTGGCCATGTTAGTTAATACCTTGGGAATCCACATTTCACCTTTGGATAAGTAGATAAAAGTGAGAGTTTTGGAATGTGAGCTTTGAGATAAAATGTTTGTGGGTGGATAGTAGTGATTTGATGTGATTTGCCAGGTAGCATGGCCCTTTGCTAATCACCGCCGAGACTTTAGCAACACTTCATTTGTTATCGGTTATTCTTAACTTTTCCATGTAGCACTTGATCCTTATATACAATAAAACATTTAAGCCATAACTGCTTGGTTAAGTGGCTGTCTCAAACTTCACTGAACAAATTATTAAAATATTATATACTGATTTTGTTTTACGAGCACAACAAAACCTAATTTTTAAACTACATTTAGGCTTCCCTATAATCTTTGTCATATGACATTTTGAAACTGCTGGTAGTTCTGACATCCACCACCTTCACTTTTAAATTGATTCAATCATCCACAACTGCTTGAAATAAATAAATAAATAAGTTGCAGGATTAAAAAAAAAAGGTCTTGAAGTTGCAGGAAGCAAAAATTCAATCTTCTCAACTGTGTAAATTCCAGTTACCATTTGGTATATGACAATTATATTGCCTCTTTTCCTTCTATCTTCTAACATGGTATATTAAATTTACCCAGCCTCTCCTCAAAGCTCGTTGTTCTGGAAGGCATTTAGAAGCATGTCTTTGCAGCCTTTTATAGTTTTCCGACATGCTTCTTGAGATATGGACACCATACAACTGCTTCATATTCAAATTTTGACCTTATAAATGTCATTAACAATTTCATTAGTATTTTTCCATCCCTACATTTAAAAATGATTCTACAGTTTGCTCCTCACAATGCCTTTGATGACAGCTTACAAGCCTGTAGATTTTCTTTTTCTCAGAGTTTTTTAATATTTTTTCATCTAATTTGTGAGTTGCATGTGGTCTATTTTCCCTTTTTCCACATTACATAATGTGGCATTTATTGACATTAAATTTCTTTTGCTATGTGTTGCTCTATTTATTCTTTTTTCCAGATCATCTTGAAGGGCATGACTATCATCTAAGTCTCTTATTTTCCTTGCAGCTTAGTAGTATCAGCAATAAACCAGCGTTGAATTTAATGAAACGCCATTTATTGGGTGAGTCCCAGAAGCTCCCTGGAGCTATCCAGGCTGGATGGATATGTATATCTGTCTGGCATCAGTCAATGCATGGAGTTCTGCCTACCAGGGACCACGAGACAGAACCTGGCCCTCTCTAGAGAGGCACGAGGAGCAATGGCCTAAAGACTCCCCTGTGGTTGGGAGCATTCTATGTCTGCCATCAACCGGGACAGGCACCCAGAAAGGTAGGCGCCCCAAAACAAACCCCTATTCTGGTAAAATTATCGCGACAGAAAGCCAAACAGGTGGACAGAACTCCCCAAACGAAAATTAGCAAACTAGTATGACATCATCATGTCGCCGCGCCGCTGTCTGCGCAACCCCCCCCCTACCCAGAAGGGAAGGGGAAGCCCCAGACCCATTTGGCAGCGACCCAACCTAGAGTTCGTAGGCTGGATGTCAAAAAGCATGAAAAACACCGCCGACCAGAAGGAGGGAGGGAGGGATGCCGGGGAGCCTCTGGGACTCGCCCAGAAAATGGTGTTTCTTTACATTCAATGTTGGTTTTCTGGGGGAAGACCTGTCGGCTCCCCGGAGCTAACTACCCAAAGACAAGGAAAAAACAGGGATTTACCCGGGAGGCGGTTTGTCCTCACTCCTCAACGCAAAGTCGAGACAACTGGCTGCAACCGCCGACCCAAGGCAACACAGGCCATACCTAGCACCGGAACATTTACCAGATAGCGAGCAGCCAGGACACTGTTCGACCTCCAAAACCCCTGCGCTTGAATGTCAACCCAAGACGTAAAACCACTAAGGAAGGGGGCCCACTGGTCAGATCCATACACAACGACTGGAGGAACCGATTCGAATGCCTCCGTCGCCAATCGAGACTGCTCGAGTTTCAAAACCAGCTAAATCCTGCCCCGACCCCGAAGCTCTCAGATACTTCAGAGCCGAAAGCATGAGGGGGACCAGAATACACCACAGCAGAGGAAGAACGAGGGGGGGGGTGCGGACGGAACCAAGGCTGAAGCGTCCAATACTCCCCCAAGTTCGGATCCCTAAATAAAATGCGGGGCAGCAATTAACCTAGCACGTTGCAGCAACCTAAACCTAGCATGCAATGATGGAGTTGCCTGCACCCGGATAACGTCATTAGTTAATTGGGGTGAAATGAGTCGCAAACAAGTAACAGTGCTCGCAGGACTCTGGGTCGAAGGTGTCACTGACCCAACAGGCAGCAAGACAGAGGTAAAAACAATGAGCGTTGCCCTGAGACCTGGGGACAAAGCATCCCTCAAACTCGCACAAAGCGAGAGGGTACCCAGAGGTCGCATCCATAGGGCCCCATGAGCCCCCGCAGGGATTCCCAGGGCCCTTAGACTGTTATCGATAAGGGTAAGCCCAGATAGGGTAATACTGACGCCCAAGTCTACCAAACAAATCACTAAAATCTAAACCCCCGGGACGTGTCCACTCACGCGAGGCCAAGTAGGGGGTACCACCCAGAAACACAGATAGAGAGAAACCTAAGGGACAGATAGGGGGCAACAAACCAAAGGCAGACACCCCCCACCCCCACCAGGCAGGAAAACAAAAACAAAAGAAAATCCCCACGAAAGGACAACATACCCAGGCAGAACAGAGCTGGCTGCCATTATAGGTAATAACTAGCTGCACAGTATCCCGTGCCCTACCAGTGCAAACTACCCCTTAACCTAAGGTAAACAAGGGAGGAGGAAAACCCCCAGCATACTCGGGGCGCTCAATTACCGAACAGCAAAAGACCAACAGAGGTAGACCCCAAGGTGACTTGTGGAAGATAACCCCAAGCCCCAAGGACAGCACTTACAGGGCACCTAGGGAAGGTGACCCTAGGCACATGCAGCCCGAGTACTTGGGAAATTACTCCTGGCTCGTTCACCACCAGAGAAGACTCGCCCCACACCACATGGCACAGAGGTGAAGGTGCCGGCATGAGGGGTCTGGAGCTTCCCCTTCCCCCTTCTGGGAAGAGGGGAGCTGCACAGATGGCTGCGCGGCAAGTGGTGACGTCATGCTCATTTGCATGTTTTTCTTTGGGGAGTTCTGTCCACTCGTTTGACTTTCAGTAGTAGTTTCAACCAGAACAGGGGTTTGCTTTGGGATGCTTACCTTTCTGGGTTCCTGACCCGGTCGATGGCAGACACAGAATGCGCCAAATCACATGTATGTGCTATTCTATAGGCCACTACTTCTCGTGCCTCTCTGAGGGGACCAGGTTCTGGCTCGTGGTCCCCAGTAGGCCTATGAACTTCATTCACACTGATGCTAAAGTCAAATATATTACATATCAGCCTGGATAGCTCCGGGGAGCCGAAGGAGTTCCCCCAGAAATGTTTTATAATTCTGAATGCTCTCTGGTAAACTGCCTACACAGTGAACATTATTACTGCTGTTAGTATTGAATCTTGTGGTACTTCACTATATAAATATATTTGGTGGCCAGATTTCACCTCTTTTTTTTCCTAATTTCCCCCCCTCCCCTCCACCTCTCTCCTACCTCATCCTTTTCTTTTCATTTTGCCCCATCTCAACATGCACCAGAAAAGCAGAAATCAAGCATCCTCGCATTAAATGCATTATGGATAAAACTTCCCCTGCATTTTAAACCTGGGCCATTTTATGGTTGAGTATAATATATAGTACATGAAGCTTTATTTTTAGTATACATGTAACAATTTTAAGAACTGGCTGATGTCAACTAATGATGAATCATTCTTGACTTACCTGGCTGTTTAGCTGAGGGGAAGGACTCCATAGACTTTCCCATCTGAGTCATTAATTTTAACATATCACTGTTTGATAGTCCAGCCATCCCTGTTAGGAAGCTTCCTGCATTTAGCTGAAAAAAATCATGAAATTATTCTAAAAAGTTTTTTTTTTAACATGCTCTAAACATCACTTTTCATTAAAGTTAGTATTATTATACAGGGATCTTTGGATAGATCAGATGACATCCAGTATGGCTGATCACTCATTTATTTGAGTATTCCATGTGAAACTATGTTATACAATTTTTGTGGTAGTTTTAAAATAAGAATTTAGTACGACACCAAGACGCTATATAATCACTGTTATGGATAATTTGAATGTTATAGTGGGAATGGGCCCTGAAAATGACATAACGGGTGTCCAGTAACCTGAAACCTAACAAATTTGGAGCTCAATATAATATAAAGCTTAACACTATCGCGCGCGGCGCGTGAGCGCTGCAGACTTTGACGTCATGGGGCGGACTGTGCGAGTGAGTGTGCCGCGACGCCTAAATGTGTATACTCGTTTCAGTTTTCTCACCTTAATTCTCGTGCTAGATCGTTCGTTTTGGTATCATTGTGTTCGCAATTAAATTCCCTGCAGGTGTATATGCATATAATGTCCAAAAGCCTGGCGAGACTCCCCACAGCAAAGCCTAAAGTTAGCCATGAACGAGCACCAATTTGCACACCACAACCTAATGAGTATACTCGTTCAGTTTGATAACATCAATTTTCATGTTACATCGCTCGTTTTGGTATCAAATTGTTTGCAATATAAAGGCCCACATTTTAAAACTAGTCTCATAATAATAGAGCAATAACTGGAATTTTAACTAATATTTTAATTTTGGACGCTCATCATCACAATTATTTATATCTTTCCAGTGTTCTGACATCAATTTTCGAGTTACGTCGCTCGTTTTTGTTTCAAATTGTTTGCAATCTAAAGGCACGCATTTTAAAAGTAGTCCCATAATAACAGCACAATAAATAGAATTTTAACAAATATTTTAAAATTTAAAATTTAGACCCAAAAACATATTTATAATCTTTCAAGTGTTCTGACATCAAGTTTCGTGTTACATCTTTCATTTTGGTATCAAATTGTGCGCACTCTAAAGGCGCTTATTTTGAAACTATCCCGAGGTCAATCGGATAAAAAATGAATTTTATACAAATATTTTTGGAGTGGACACGAGTCCTGTCCATGGCTAGGACTCAAAAGAAAAAAAGTGGACGTGATCGATGTCCAAAGCAAGCAATACTGTTAATATTAATGCTTAGAATTTGCTACTGGAACTATATTTGAAGGTTAAAAAGAGGGACCCTCCCTCCCACCCCGCACATGTCAGATGTGTGGAAATTACAAACCAATTTGGTAACATTAATACTTGCCATTTATATTCTATTTTTTTTTTTTGCTATTCTTGTGCCTTTAGTAGTAAATACAGCGGAACCTCGAGTGACGAGTGCCTCAATCTACGAGCATTTCAAATAACGAGAGCGCCACTCTGCGAAAATTTGTCTCGAATGACGAGCTCTCGCTTGATTAACGGGAAAAGCATAAGGTGCTTCCTAGCATTCCCGCTAACTCTCGCAAATTCTAGGAACTCTCTGACAATGCAAATAACTTTTTTTTTGTTTTAAAGATGTTAATGATGCTGGGATGTAAAGGGGTGACTGCTGTAATGTTGCAAAGCATTGACTTTTGTTTTTTAAACAAAAATAGAACAAAAATAAAAAAAAATTGAAGAACAAATGTCAAAAAGGTTCATTCAGTGAATGTTAGGTAGGCTGCTACATTTTCTAAAAAAAAAAAAAAAAAAAAAAAAAAAAAAAAAAAAAAAAAAAAAAAAAAAAAAAAAAAAAAAAAAAAAAAAAAAAAAAAAACTTGATACGCCATTTTCTGGTCGAGTCTTGGAGGCTCCCAGGGCAATCCAGGATGAATGGATATGTATATCTTTTCGGCATCGGTCAATGCATGGAGCTCTTGCCTACCGGAGACCACGAGCCAGAACCTTGCCCCCTCTAGAGAGGCACGAGGAGCAATGAGCTATAGAGACCCCCGCCCTGTGGTTGGGAGCATTCTATGTCTGCCATCGACCGGGACAGGTACCCAAAAAGGTAGGCGCCCCAATACAAACCCCTGTTCCGGTAAAACATTTGCAACCGAAGGCCAAACAAGTGGACAAAACTCCCCAAACGAAAATTAGCAAACTAGCATGACGTCAACAGTCGCCGCGCCGCTGTTTACGCAACCCCCCCCCCTCCCCCGGAGGGGGAAGGGGAGCCCCAGATAAACCCGCCGAAGACCCAACCTTCAATTCTTAGGCTGGATGTCAAAAAGTGTGAAAAGACATCGCCGACCGGAGGGAGGGCGGGATGCCGGGGAGCCTCCGGGACTCGCCCAGAAAATGGCATTTCCTTACATTCAACGCTGGTTTTCTGGGCGAAGCCCTGTCGGCTCCTGGAGCTACCTCACCACAGATAAGGAAAAGAGGGAAAGATTCAGGAGGTGGATGCCACATGCCCTAACATAAAAACAAGACCACAGACGAAAAGAAAGGACCCTGCAGACGACCCAAGAGACCCGAACCCCAGAACAGGAAGAAGGGAAGGAAGGGAACCCGGGCAAACCAAAATGCATCCCCAGCCCCAGAGGCTAAAACACCCAGAGAACTGCGAAGAGCTGCAACCGAACAACAAAAGAAAGCACCCTGGCCAAGGAGGCCAAGACCGTCAGTAGTTTCAAAGCGTTATATGGCAAAGAGTGCTGGGAAGACAGGACACCACGAGCGTAGCTCTCATCCTGTAACTACACTTAGGTGATTACATCATGCTCGTTTGCTAATTTTCGTTTGGGGAGTTCTGTCCACTCGTTCAGCTTTCGATAGCAATAGTTTCACCAGAATAGGGGTTTGTTTTGGGGCGTCTAACTTTCTGGGTGCCAGATCCGGTCGATGGCAGACATAGACTGCTCCCAACCACATGGGCATTTCTATAGGCCACTGCTCCTTGTGCCTCTCTGAGGGGGCCAGGTTCTGGCTCATGGTCCCCGGTAGGCAAGAACTCCTTGCACACTGATTGATGCCAGAAAGGTATACATATCCATTCAGCCTGGAGAGCTCTGGGGAGCCGACGGGGCTCCCCCAGAAAAAACTATTATTACTGATTATCTGTGATAGCATTGTATTGCTTGTGTGTGTTGACTAGTTCGGGAAGAAACAGTGCAATAGTATGAGAAAGCCTGATCCTAACCTGGGCAGCAGGCAAAGGAGGAGCCCTTTACAATGAGGCCTGGCAAACAAGCCTCATATAGTGGATTAATAAAACACTACAGTAGAAGTATAAAAGTTTTCTAATCTTAGTTAGCTGCAGTCACTCAAAACCTATCATGCTATATTTGATTTACCACATCCAAAATACAGTACAGTATATTTTGTTATTGGCACAATACTGAAATTCAATCAACTAACCTGAGACCATATGTCTTGCTGTTGGTGAGATGTAAGATTATTTGCTTGATGCTGCTGTAGTTGTTTATACATATTCATTTGTTGCTCTGGTGTCATACTGCTTAATATTGATTGATTCATTGATGCCCCATACTGGTCCAACCTGTGAATAAAAAAAAAAAGATTCTTTTAATTATACAAAGGTTATTTAACCCTTAACCACTTAACTGCGCCAGCCGAGTATTCTCGGTCGGCGGGAAACTGCGCCAACCGAGAAAACTCTTTTTATTTTTCCGTACCCATTCTAAATGTGTGTGAGGTTGGTTGTGTACGAAATGGACTCTTAGAACCTCCAGTGAAAGGCAGCCATCTTGGAAAAAATTCCCAGAATGCCCTAGGGCTGCTGGCTGGGTTAGTACTGAATGAGCAACCATGGGTGGCGCACGCGCCTCTGGCTCCCAAACACCGATCTGACGAGGTGTTGAAAGATAACGCTCTGTCTGTGAAATTCATACCTTATTGTTTGAAGAACATAAGGGTCATAATATTAGTGAAGCTATGCGCAATAAGGACCTAACACAAAAGTTGGATGTAAGTGATATAGCACCTATGAGGACGATACAGCGAGCGTATCCAGTTGTAGCTCTTGAGCGTCACCCTTGCAATCCTATGCTATCTCCAATTTATTTAGATGATACATAGATGAATTCGCTTTCTGCGTTCAGTGATGATGCATTTGATACAAGTAGCATAGATGAAGTGTTAGCGACTTCCATGGTGGTGTTTTCCATAGATATTTTCAAGAATACCTGAATCTCTTTGAGGCTAGCTGAATCTCTTTCTGACTGATGGACACTCTTTGATTCAAGCTGAATCTCTTCCTGTGTGGGACCATACAAAGCGATCTTTTCCAAGACTACCTTACAAATTGATCTTTTCCTATAATCGTTTCAATACTACCTTATGCTTTACAAGCTTGGCTACATATGACCTACAAGTACTAAAGCCAAGGATGTACGTGAGTGCGTTATTTGCAAGCACACAGAATGAAGAAAAAGGAAGTGAAAATTTATCTGTACTAAGTGCAACGTGAGCAAAGTTGCGCTGTGCACCATGGACTATTACTCACTCCCGAAGTACTGAGTGTGTAATACAGTGTGTTACTGTGTAAATAGTGTCAAACTAGCAAGCATGGCAAGTCATGCTTATGACACCACCTCTGTCACCCATATGGTTCCTCCCAACATACTCCTTTTGCTTTTATTACACTAATGCACACTTTATATATAAGTACAGTATCTACATTTGTGTTCACCATAGAGAACCACTAAGCTGCTATGGTGATTGCAGACAACAGGTGGCCACACAGATACAGCAGACAACACTACCTCCCTCAGCATTACTCCTCCCACACAGTGCTAATTATCACAATCCTGGTCATTTTTATCAGTAGGGGTCTTCTGTAATACTGTCATCGCTAAATAATAGCAGTTACATATTTACTTTGACATTTTTAGATGCTGTGGTCATAAGATAAACAGCAGTGCTGTTAGCTCATGCTGCGTGTACCAGCCTTGGTTGCTCACACAGTACTGTGGCTGTTATATCTGAGAATAATGGCCACGATTTTTTTTAAACACAGCGTCTGTTAACAAGAGCCCTGAGAAAGCTGATGTGAAACCCGTGTAGCCACGGGCCATGTTACTCCGGTCGTATATATATGCCATGTGCAGTTTAAGGGTTAAAAATTGTCATTATACAGTATTTGTACGGTACTTCTTGAAATACTTCTAAATTATTTTAAATTTGCTGTTTCATTATACAACAAGTGAACCTATACACAATTTAACTTGTACACTAGGCTTTTTCTTGGGCAGTCCCCGGTATCTATCCTGCTGAGATTGCTCCACAAATGGGTCACATCAGATGTGGGGGTTCAGCTTAGCCTACCAGAGAGAAAACTTGACCTCACAGAGACACAGAGCACATGACAATTCACCACCACACTGGGAAAGCATCCGAAGTCAGTGATACTTTACAGACAACTGGAGGGATAATAAACAGCTAAATCTCAAAGCAGCCAACAACTCTGCTAATAATTCACACAGAACAAGTTAAACATTCAAAATTAGAGTTTAGAGTGAAACTCACAGTATCGAATGCCACCACCAGGTGGTCCAGCTTCCCCACACAGCCATTTTCCTTACTTGATTGGCTATAAAATAAATGTGCTGTCTACAGAAAGAGCCAGGTGTGCATATTGGATCAAGACCTGTGCAGAATCCTCAAGCAGCAGAGCTTGTCAGTTTAAAGTTAACACTGCACATGCACATATGGTACACAGAATAGTACAGGTAATGGTAAAAATAAATTAATCAATCCTTAGCAACATTTGAAAGTTTACATTTCTTTGAGTATTGGATTTCAGAAATGAAATTGTATATGAATAAATTGTAAACTTAAAAATATATATACTGTATTAACCTTGATTTAGCTTGGCTAGAAGTATGCTTAGAAGATGGACTCGAGAAAGAATGAGATGAAGTAGAATGCTTGGACTGGGTTGTTGAATAATTTAATGAACTTGACTTGCTTGGAGTTGTTGCCATGCCAGTTGACGTACTGTGTGATGACACACTGCTTGTAGTATTAATAGGAGCATTGTTACTGCTCCCACTACCCTTCTTTGTACCTGATGGAGAAAGTAGGTATGACTGATAATGTTTTGGATGTATTGCATCAATATCTAATGTCTTAAAAGTCATTTAGCACTTAGGCAAACTAGTATAGCCAACTCTTGATTTTATGCAGTTTATATCTGTGGTAAAAATTCAGAAAAATTAAAACTGAGAGGAGTACTGATACCAATATTTTGACAGACACCAATACAATAAAATGATCGATGCTTTATTATTTCTATTAGATGTTACAAGTTATTAAGTCATAATGATACATCACATATCAGGGATTGTAATGGTAAATTAACAACATTCAATAATTATAATTATTACACAACTTTCCCATAAAGCCCACTAAATGAAAGTATTAAATGTATTTGCAAGCAGTGATTACTGATCAATAACTCTAAATAAAAAATGTAGCTACTTTGCATAGCTACCCAGTGTTGGAGTAGTTTGAGTCAAGCTGCCTTACATTTTTACCAAGTTGAATTTGAAACTTTTAAACAGAACCACGAGTGTGCTTTAGAAAAATTAGATACAGTGGTACCCCGCATAACGATCGCCCCAAAAGGCGAACATTTTGGGTAACGAACGGCCCGACCGGCGACAAATCGTCCCGTATGGCAATCGCTCGTTTGAGTAACGTCAACACCACAAGGTGGGGTTGCGCTGCTTCTTGCACATAAATTATGTTGTTCTTGTTTAAAGATGCTAATGATGCTAGGATATAAAGCGGTGACTGCTGAGCTGTTGCAAAGCATTGACGTTTTTGTAGAAAAAAGAAATTAAATTTCTGAAATACAACAAATGTCAAAAAGGTTCGTTCGGTGTTCGGCAGGTAGACTGCTCCATTATAACAATCTTTCTTTCTTTCAAATGTGTTCTATTTGTTTTGTATTTGTCATTTACGTCTCGATAATGGAGCAGCCTACCTTACATACACTGAACAAACCTTTATGACATTTTCATTTTTCAAATGTGTTCAATATTCATTTTTCATTTGTCTTATAGCAAAAGGTTCGTTTGGTGGTCGGCGTGTAGGCTGCTCCATGTTTCTTACATAAAAAAAACGTAAATAATAAAAAAATGAAGAATTTTGAAAACCAGAACAAATGTCAAAAAGGTTTGTTCGGTGGTCTACAGGTAGGCTGCTCCATGTTTCTTAATAATAATAATAATAATAAAAAAAAAACGAAAAATAAAAAAAGTTGAAAAAAATTTGAAAAAAGGACAAATGCCATAAAGGTTCGATCAGTGTTTGTCGGGTAGGCTGCTCCATTATTGAGATGTAAATGACAAATACAATACAAATGGAACGCATTTGAAACAAAGAAAAGATTGGCATAATGGAGCAGCCTACCCGACAAACACTGAACGAACCTTTTGCTATAACAAATATGAAAGACTAGGGCTGCTGGCTGGGTTAGTACTGCGTGAGCAACCATTTGTGGCACACGTGCCTCTGGCTCCCAAACACCTGTCCAACACGGTGTTGAAAGATTGCGCTCAGTTGGTGAAATTCAGACCTTATTGTTCGAAGAACATAAGTGTCATAATATTGGTGAAGCTAGGCGCAATAAGGACTTAACACAATGGTCGGATGCAAGTGATGCAGCACCTCTTCCTGACTGATGGACTCTCTTTGAGGCTAGCTGAATCTCTTCCTGTGTGGGACCTTACAAAGTTATCCTTTCAAGACTACCTTACAATTTGAGCTTTTCCTATAATCGTTTCAATACTACCTTATGCTTTACAAGCTTTGCTACATACCACCTACAAGTACTAAAGCCAAGGGTGCACGTGAATGCGTTATTTGCAAGCACACAGAACGATGAAATAGGAAGCGAAAATCTATCTGTAGCTGATGCAACGAGAGCAAAGTCATGCTGTGTACCATGGACTACTTCGTTGACTATTACGCACCTCCAAAATACTGAGTGTGTAATACAGTGTGTTACTGTGTAAATAGTATGTGAAACTGTACATATTGTAATTTTAGTGAATTTTTACCACGTAATATTGTGACTAAACATTTATTGTGGACACATTACTGACACATGTATCACAGTTCCATGGAACATTATGAACATTCTACTGTATACATATTGTAAAGGTCACAAATATGCATCATATACGATAAAAGAAACAAATAAAACCGCACTGGAAATACATAGAACAAATATTTGAAAAGATATTTGTGGCAACACGGGGTGCTTGAATGGCCTGCGTGACCATGTCTGGGCGTTTCACACACAGGCGGCCAGCCCCCTGATAACATCACAGCGCATCTTGTCCACGTCCTCACAGCCAAAGTAAGTGGAATTTGGTACATAGACATGTTCAGGGAAGGGAATTTATCATTTTACAAAGAAAAATTATTTTTGGGGAACACTTAATGTCATGCACACTGGGGGAATTTCACAATAAACACAGCGCATCACAGTGGTTAAATGGGGACATTCATTTTGTACGACGTCCGTTTCACATGACGAACACGGTGCCGGAACAGATTAAATTCGTTATTCGAGGTACCACTGTATCTCCCTGCAGAGTACAAAAAAAGTTACAACACATGTAAGACATCCTAATTCAAATTTAGATTCAGAATTTAAGCCAAAACAGCCGAAGCTCAACCCTGACAAGCACTATTAAGTGAGTGTCAAGCAGAAGTGGGTAAGGTAGGAGTTGATGTGAAAGGGGGTGGGCGAGGCAAATATGGGCAGGAAAAGGAATGGGTGGGGCAAATATACGGTAGGAAAAGGAATGGGGTGGGGCAAATATGGGTAGGAAAAGTAATGGATGGGAATAGAAAGAGAGGTCAACTGGGTAGGATAGGAGAGAGAGTACTCCTCTAATTGTGCATGTTAGGGTAGAGCGTCAGCCTTTTGGTTCTGCCCCTCAACCTTCAACCAACTGGTGTACAAGTTCCAAGCCTAGTAGGCTCTGTCATATCTATATTTGAAGCTGTGTATGCAGTCTGCCTACTTTACTTTCGCTTTAAAATGCATTCCATTTGATCACTACTCTGCCACTCCAAAAATCTACTTCTGTAGATCATTTGTGAATTTAGTTTCATGTATACTCTAGATCATGTACTACCCATTCTGTAGAATCTGTCCATGTCTGCCCAGTCAATTTCCCTGAAAACTTAATGTCTTCCAGTGATATGAGTGAGGTATAATTCCTGTAATATTTCATCGTAACTCATCCCTGTCCACTCTGGTACTATTCTAGTGGCATACCTCTGAACTTTCTATAGCTTCATTTTGTGTTTTACAAGATAATGAATCCATGCTGGTGTGAAGAGGAAAGTCTTTCTCAGCTAAAATGTACATCAAAGATGAAAGATAATTTGAACCACATTAATTCAAGTTGAACTATAATCAAATGGAGTATCCCTGGAGAGCTATTCTCATTTAGAGTTAGATATACTGTAGTATAATGACCAGCATACAATGTCAGTTTATGCTACAAGGTTAGGAAAACTATATTAAGTTTGTACATATGGGTGGAGTGAGATCTGTAAAGGAACCAATCAGGGGACAAGCCAATGTAGATGTTACTCTTCTGATTGGTTTATCCACATAGAAGCTCATTTGAAGTTAAGAAGCAATACTCTTCTTGCCCACCTCGGGGTATCCGGGTGGGAAACCAACCTAGCATGCAATGCAGATGCCGCCTGTACCTGAATATCTATGTCATTAGAATGGGTAATGGAGAATAAGCAGAGAGCATGACTCGCAAAACTGTGGGTCAAAGGTGTCGGTGACCCAACAGGCAGAATGACAGGCAAAAATGGTGACTGTCACCCTGAGACAAGGGTACACAGCAACCCTCAAATTCGTACGAGGCGGAACTCAGAAGATGCATTTATTGGTGTAATGAGCCCCAATGGGCATTTCCAGGGCCCGCAGGCTGACTGCCACAGGAAGCCCCAGGCAAGGTACTGCAAAAACTTGCTAGGCCCAAACTAAGAAGGGAAACTGCTAAAGTTGAACCCCTGCGACGTGTACAATCACAGGGGCCTAGGGGGATGCCACCAAAACAAAATCAGTGGACCAATAGCCAAACCAGGCAGAGACCTTCCAGGCAAGGAAAATAAAGAAAATAAAAACCCCGCAAAAGGTCAACGCCCCCAAAAGGAACAGAAACTGGCCGTTGCGTAGCACCTTGTGCCCCTACCAGCTAACAATACCACTTCCCATTAAAGGCCAAACAAAGACCACGAAAGCCCCAGCTAGCCCCCAAGGGCGGGGTAATCGCCGAGCAGCAAAGACCCCCATGGAAGTGGTTCCCAAAAGTTCTATGGAAGAGAACCCTAGAACCCAAGGGTAGTACTTACAGGGGACCTAGGGAAGAAAGCCCTAAGTGTACGAAGCCCCACTACTCTCAAATTTCTCCTGGCCACCGCGCCATACACACAGGGGCCAGACGGCTGAGTGGATAGCGCTTGGATTCATAGTCCTAAGGGCCCGAGTTCATGCCCTGGCAGAAGCGGAAACAAATGGCATTTTTTCACCCTGATGCCCCTGTTCAACTAGCAGTAAATAAGTACCTGGGAGTTAGACAGCTTCTATGGGCTGCTTCCTGGTGGGGTGTGTGTGTGTGAGAAGAAAAAATTAGTTGATTGATAGTCGAGAGGTGGGACCAAAGAGCCAGAGCTCAACTCCCGAAAGTACAACTAGGCAAGTAGGCACAGGCACGCACCACTAAGGTTCACAGCTGCCCAGAATCTGAGGCCAGAGTCAACGTCCCCCCGGACCACATCAGCCAACGAACTGGAGTTGTTGAGTAGCCGGTGCGGGGGAGGGGGGCCTCCCCCTCCCATTCCAGTGAAGGGGAGGACTGCGCAGACAAGCAGGGTGGCGGCAGAGTGTGATGTTTGCAATTTTCTTACTGTGTGGGGTCTGTTTTGTTATGCCTACCTTTCAGGGTGCTAATCCTGGTCGATGGCAAACATGAAATGTCCCAAATACATGGGGGTTTCCATAGGCCATTGCTCCATTTGCCTCTCTGAGAGGGCCAGGTTCTGGCTCGCGGTCCTCGGTAGACTGATGCCCCGGACTAATATAACACATACTAGCCTGATGGTTCCAGGGAGCCAGAGGGGCTCCCCACAGAAAAACTGTCCTCTAACAGCATCAAGTACAGATGACCAGTATTATGAAAAATATTATCATATGTCAAAGCATGGACTAATAGACTATAGATCAATTCACATTCTTTTAAAATATTCCACTTATTATAGTAATCACTTATACAATATGCTATAACTATAGATACATTTTTAGATGCTAAAATATTGTTAAAGAATTCATAAAGATAATTTTGCTGCGAATGAAAAGTGTTTTAAGGTACAAGCAGACAGGAAGAAAGACTTTATACATGCTATGAGTACATGAATCATGCCTGAATGATATTTAGTGAACGATTTGGTTAAGCTAGAAAAATACAATAGGGCCTGTTTCCATAATTCCCAGATGTCCCTCATTCATTTACTGTGGCTTTTTCATAAAGAAGGTCATCTACTGATGCAATTGTTAGCAACTAGTAATAACAGTATCTTCCTGTCAACTCACCTGAGTATATACACCTAGTTTAACCACATACATTCTGTGCTGCCATGCTAAAAACATCAATATCACATTCTGACTCAGAAAACAAAACATTTCACCAAATACCTTCACATCCAAAAGTAGTTATCGTCTTGTCCTCATCTTAACAAAACACAAAATATTAATTCTCACCTGATGAGCTGTAGGTCCCAACAGAAGAGGTGGCTAGTGCAGCAGGATTATGATAAACTGAAGTAGATGCCGGTGTCTTTTTGGTAATACTGCTCACACTGAGGCCGTGTATCATCCTCAGGTTAGCCAATGGACCGGCTGATGAAACTATTAAAGGAAGGACGACATAAATAGGTTCACACATCATTTCACTTAAATAGTTTGCAGTCATCATTATATGCAAACAGATGACTTAGAAGTGTTTTTAATTACACTGCCAGAAAATCAAGTTCCAAATCCCTATTAAATACTGGGTTTACATGTACTTACCAGTTTCCAGGGGTAATACCATTACTGTACTGCATTAAGACAGTGATTTCAGAACCTTAGATAATTATTCACACCCCTATACTATACAGTATTAATATTAAGCACTTTTCATGACATGGAAAGCACAAATTTCTTTTGCCTGCATCCAAAATAAGACTGAACGAGCAACACAGCAACTTACCTTGTACCAGAAGGGAACTAATTTTATAGGTGATCAAAAGAAAAGATCCAAATACTTAAAATGACATTCGCTCAAATTCACTGCAACCACAAAGATAAGTAACAGTTACAATACAAAGTGAAATTTATTTACCTTTGTTAGTAATATCCAGAACCTACAACATGCAAAGCCATGTACTGTATTATATAATATGAACATCTTAAAGCATATAATGCATTTGAAGTCAATAAATTGCTTCCCTGTTCAAACAAGGAATTACATGCAGAATAACTTTTAAGTAGCTTAGGTGTCACACATTTTAATCCATGCATTTATGGTGTATATAAAAATAAACACACTGAAAAACAACAAATACATAAATATCTTAAGTAAACTAACCAATGGGTGCTTCTGTCTGTCTTTGTCTGGAGGATGATACTTCATGACTTGATCCCCATAAGTGAGTCTTGTTTGTACTAGGTGGAGAATTTCTTGAGTTCAAAGGCATTTCACCTTTATTCCATGAAGACACATTAATGTTAACAGAATTAGGCTGAGTTTGTTGTTGATGCTGAGTGTGTGAATACTGTTGCAACTGCTTCTTATGATGACTGGATTCTTGAGATGTTGCTTGCTGTTGTGATGGCGAGGGATACTGAGGACTGCTTTTGTGTAAATTTAGTGGATGCTGTGTCTTAGGTGCCTGCATATTCAAAGGTTGCTGAAGATTTATGGCCTGTGATTTTGGTTGCTGCAAATTTAAAGGCTGCTGTTGTTGCAATGGCTGATGTGGTGAATGTTGCATAGAAAGCTGCTGCTCTGACTGCTTAGAATGATGAGATGAATGTGACTGCTTAGACTGAGATGAGCCATGATGCTGTGACTGTGACTGCTTCGATTGGTGAGATGAGCCATGATGTTGTGACTGTGACTGCTTCGATTGGTGAGATGAGCCATGATGATGTGACTGTGACTGCTTAGGCTGGTGAGATGAGCCATGATGCTGTGATGAAGAATGGGACTGTTTAGATTGATGAGATGAGCCATGATGCTGTGACGAAGAGTGTGATGGTGACTGCTTAGGTTGATTAGATAAGCCATGATGCTGTGATGAAGAATGTGACTGCAATTGTTTTTGTGATGGGGAATTTGGATGTATTTTTTGTTTTATATGTTGCACAGGTGAATTTTGCTTTAAATTATGCCGTGACTGTTGAACTGGTGAATTTTGTTGTACACTTTGTCTCTGTTTTTCCACTGGTGAATGATGTGGTGAAGGTGTTTGTTGTGGTACTGACGAGTGGTGTTCTACAGGATTCTTCTGTTGCTGTGTTGGAGAATTTTTTTCGGTGTGTTTTGGCGGTTGAACTGGTGAACTCTGCTTTGCATGATCGGCTGCAAAAGATTTTTGCATAATTTTTTTGTGGTGCTGTGCTTGGGTGTTATGTTGCTGCTTTACTTGAGAGACTGATGACTGGGTAATATGCTGCCTCTGCTGCTGAGATTGAGATACATTTTGGTGCTTAGATGATGATGTCACTGATGAATGGTCAACACTTTCCAATGTTACTTTCTCTAAATTATCATCAACTGACTTCTTCTTTGAAATCTGTAGAAGTTCATTCATGACAAGATTCATTTCTTCCTCTAAATTGTCCTCTTTCTTTCCGTCTGTTGCTGAATTCACTCTCTGAATAACTGATGTTGCATCTTTTTCTGAAGTGTGATCATTATTTTCTTTATTAGATTGTGATATTGGATTGAGCTTAGATGATGAGACTTTACTTGTCATTGACTTGTCATCATCACTAGATAAGTCTATAATACTGACAGATGAAACTGCTTCAGACTGTGTCTTTTCTAGAGAGCTCCCTTTAGTAGCAGTACTGGAAACACTAGCTGTTTTAGATGCACTTTCTGAGCTTGTTGCTATCTTACAAGCTCCTTCATTTATCTTATCCACTGACTTAATACTTAAACCACCACTTAAGGAAACAGTCTTCTCTGCTGCTGTTGCAGTGCCTGCTGCTACTGCTTCTTTTGTTTTTGTTCCTGGTACTACAATTACTGCTTCTTTTGCTTTTGCTGCTGGTACTATTACTGCTTCTTTTGCTTTTGCTCCTGATACTACTATTACTCCTTCTTTTGCTTTTGCTCCTGGCACCACTATTACTGCTTCTCTTGCTAGTGTTCCTGCTGCTACTGTTTCATTTGCCAGTGATCCTGTAACCAATGGTTCTCTTGGTGCTTTTGCTATTGACAGTACTTCTGTAACTGCTGCTTCTCTTGCTGGTGTTGCTCCTACTACTGCTTCTCTTGTTGGTGCTGCTCCTACTACGGCTTCTTTTGCTGGTGTTGCTCCTACAACTGCTGCTTCTCTTGCTGGTGCTGCTCTTACTACAGCTTCTCTTGCTGGTGTTGCTCCTACTACTACTGCTTCTCTTGCTGGTGCTACCCCTACTACGGCTTCTTTTTCTGGTGTTGCTCCTACTACTGCTGCTTCTCTTGCTGGTGCTGCTCTTACTACGACTTCTTTTACTGTTGTTCCTACTACTGCTGCTTCTCTTGCTGGTGCTGCTCCTACTATGGCTTCTCTTGCTGGTGTTGCTCCTACTGCTGCTGCTTCTCTTGCTGCTCCTACTATGGCTTCTCTTGCTGTTGTTCCTGCTACTGCTGCTTCTCTTGCTGGAGCTGTTTCTACCTCTCTTGCTGGTAGTCCTACTACCGATTCTCTTGCTAGTGCTGCTGTTACTACCGATTCTTTTGCTGGTGCTGCTGTTACTACCGATTCTTTTACTGGTGCTGTTGCTACTACCAATTCTTTTGCTGGTACTGCCGCTACTACCGATTCTTTTGCTGGTGCTGCTGCTACTACCGATTCTTTTGCTTGTATTCCTTCAATTAATGATTCTCTTAGTGGTGTTTCTGCTACTACAGATTCTCTTGCTAGTGTTCCTGATACTATTGCTTCTCTTACTGATGCTCCTGCTTCTCTTGCTGGTGCTCCTGCTGCTACTACTACTGCTTCTCTTGCTGGTGCTCCTGCTGCTACTGTTTCTTTTGCTGGCACTCCAGCTACCACTGGTTCTCTTATTGGTATTGTTTCCACTCCAGTTACAACTGCTTTCACTGGAAAATCAGCCTCTTTCTGTTCTCCAGTAGAACTCTTCTTTTTAACTGCTTCTCCCTTTGCTATGCTGGAAACAGCTGTGGGTGATTCTTTAGGAACAACTGTGGCACTTAGAGAAGGCTTGGGTGGCTGAGGACTGATGGTGCTTGAAACAGATGAAATGCTGCCACCTCCCAGAGATATTTGCCTCTTCACAGGCACTGGTTTCACAAATGTTTTGTCCCTAAAATAAGAGAGAGATTTAATTAGAGGAAAATTTTTCATTATAAAACAAACTCAAAACTGCTAATGACTAAGTCAAAGAAATGTAGAGGACCACAAAAAGAAAGAGATCTGGAATATTAATTTGACAGATATCAGAAACATTTTAGAATTTAATTTAATGTTAATGTCTATCCACTGACAACAGGAAGGCCAGTGGGCATTCAGATATGTAATCAAGTTATGGCAAACTACTGTCATTCCTGTGCACTAAACCTTGTTGAAACGATGTTGAAAACCATGCCAAAATTACACTTACAAAACAAAGCCTCCAGTGAGTAAGAAAGGTTACACACAATTTATTTACTTGTGGAAGTCAGAAAAATGTCCTAGGTAAACAAATCTAATAAATAATTTATGGAATAACTGGATACACAAATTTAAGTTTAAGGCATTATATGCCCAAGGTTTTAGAGGTATCTTACCAGGTAAATTCATATTACAATATTACCTGAATGTACTTATGGATACATTTACACATGTATTGAATTTGTTTTAGGACCTGCCACTTCACAACTATTAATACCTTTTAATGAACTGATCATATCTTCTTTAAAAGCCAAGGTTTTAGTTGGCCTCTATGGCCTCTATCACTTTACATGTGTATGTGTACGTGTATGTGATACAGATCTCTCAAACATGACAGTCAAACTTGGTGTAATGATTAAGAATAATCAACAGTTTAAGAGGGAATAAAAATAAGATAAATTTGAAGCTTAATCTTTAACCCTTAAAGGGCGCAATACATATATAGCTGGGGTGAGTAACTATTGCAGGATGGTGTCCCACATCTATGTATGGTTGGGAGTACCGCGTAAGACTTAACACTTTCGCGCTCTCGGCGTTCAAAAAAAAAAATCATACCCTATGCGCTTTCGGCGGTTCGCGCGCCTACGCGGTAAGACCGAAAAAGTGTACACTCTTTTGACTGTCCTGACAATAATTGAAGGCGCACGTATTTAAATTTGGTATCACTGTGTTCGCAATAAAATTGTCTATAAGAACATACCTATAAAATGCCGCCAAAGCATAAGGACTATCAACAACAAATAAAAAACTATTCAGATCACTTGCCGAGAGCGCCAAACAGCAACAAAATGTTTCCACTCTCTTAATGGTTGCGAAGCCTACAGTTGTCCTACATCGCTAACTGTGGTATCATTGGAATCCCAATAAAATTCTCTACACGGACATATGCATATAAATATAGATTCAATGTCGTAGCCCACCAAAACAGTGTGGGAAGTGGCCGAAGAGAGAGCCCAGTTGGCTCCCCGGAGCTACCTACCCAATACGAAAACAAGAGTGACTGTACCCGGGAGGCGGAAGACGCACACACCCCAACACGAAGCAGAGACAAAACTGCAACTGCCAACCCAAAGCCACATAGGCTCGACAAGGTGCAGCAACATCAACAAAGGAATGCAGAGCCAACTAACGAACAACTTGGGCACAGGGACAGACAGCAGGCTGGCAGGACCGAACCACCCTACGGACGACCCAAGAGAACCACACCCTGGAACAGGGAAGGGAACCCAGAACAACCCAAAGCGTGACCTTGGTCACAGCAGCCGTGGCATGCCAACCACGGCAATGTGCTGCAACCGAACACAACACACGATGCATCCTCGGCCAGACCAACCAAGCATCAAACAACCCAAGGACCTCTCTGGAAAGCAGCCGAGCCAGTCTTCGTCAGAAAAGAAGGAGACGGCTGCAAGCCCACAAACCATCAGAAGAACCAAAAGAGCTGAAACTCAGGTGCACGGAGAAGGGCACGAAGCACTCCGACCCGACCCCCAGAGGCCAACGCCAACAAGAAAGAGTCACAGAAAAGAACTCGGAACTGAAGAGGCCACAACAAACCGAGAAGAGAAAAAGAGCACGCAATCCAAGAACCAGGACGGCGCAAGAGCAGGCTGGAGGTGAACTACACCAGAGATGGCTCGCGAAGCATTACAAGGGCAACTCCAAAACCGAAGCCACCAGGAGCGGCTCCGCCAGCGCTGCACGAGACAAGGCGACAATATGTGGCAAGATGACTGCCCCGAACCTCCACAAGAGAAGGACAAGACCACGCCAACTAAACGCAGCAAACCTAAGAAGGGACAGAATGAAAAAAGAAGGACTGCCAAAAAAATCCACACCGCCGTCAAGAAGAAGCACGCAGGTGGGACACCATTAAAGAAGCTACCTGACCACCAACAGATGGTAAGACTCGAGGCAGAACCAAACTAGCCCCACCATGGACCGATTGAGCCTAGGAAGATCTCGGGTGCGATCACCGAGCAAACAGAGACGGAAACCCAAGCCGGCAAGGAAGGAGATGGAATGTCTGCCGTACAGAAAACTTCCCAGCACCGGAGAGCTCGCCAGGAGATCGAAAACTCCATGGTTCCGATCACAACACAACACAAGCATTCCATGTCTGCCAGCAATCATTGTTTGGCACCCAGAAAGGTAGGCATAGCAAAACAAACCCCACATGGTAAAAACTGCTACCTAAAATCGAACAGGGAGGCAGAACCCCCCAAACTAAAATAAGCAAACATCACTAATGCCATCGCACTAATCATCCATGCAAAGTAGCCCCCCACTCAGGAGGAGGGTCCAGGACCCCTTGCTCTGGTCTCTACAGCATTCAGTTTTGAGGCTGGGCATCAAAAGGAATGCAAAAAACTGCCGACTGGAGGGAGGAAGGGCACCAGGAAGCCTGAAAAAGCCAAGAAAGAGAGAACAAGACAACCCTATCCGAAATAGAAGACAACCTACTAAGAGAGAAAATGGCAGTGCATGCGCCAGGGGGGAGGGGTCAAGAGATACAGGTAACCTCACCTCAACCAGTCCTGCCGAAAGGCATCTACCACAACGGCCTCGCAGTTGGGGAAGGGCGCCATATACACAGGAAGATGTACATCCGGCAGCCAACTGAAGGAGTCTGCATCAACAGTACATTCCAGGGACAGGGAAATGAACCGAGACAGGCCATCTCGGTTCGTGGGGTCAGGCACGAGCAAACATCGCAAGCCTTCCCCTCACCGCCCTGTCAACAGGGCGACCTGCGGAAGGGCCAACGCCCTTTCTGGTTTAAGGTAAAACCTGCCACACATCCATAGCAGGTCATTTACATGTGCCTGTTCATTTAGACTACTTCCTGGTATTCTTTCTGATATTACTGTATTAGCCAGGTGCTTCCATTTCAGGTGCCATAGGTTGAAGTTCCCAAGCAAGATGATGTTCGGGCTGGATTTGTGAGGTTTTCCAAGCAGTGTTCTATTTTCATTAGTTGGTCTTTAAACTGCTGAGGGTTTGCCTCCGGTGACTTATATACAAGGACAATAACTACATTTAGGATCTCTATTTTGATTATCAGCACTTCCACCATATCATTTGTGGTGTTTAGCAGCTCAGTACAGATGAGTGTGTCTTTGATGTAGAGGCTGACCCCACCCTGTAGCTGGTGTTTCCTGTCACATCTGAAAAGATTGTACTCTGAGATCCATATTTCGCCATCATGGTAGTCCTTTGTGTGAGTTTCCGTTAGGACTGCAAACACTGCATTTGCCTCATGAAGGAGACCATCTATAAAATGAACTTTGTTGAATTTGCATGTTTTTATACCCTGGATGTTGGTAAATATAAATGATGTTATAGTGTTTATGGAAGCGCTGGATGCTTTACTTGGTGTTAATATGTAAAGCTCTGGTAGGGAGGCCACTGTGTTTGCATCCCCTCTAGCATTTGACCATGATGGTGGTAGAGTCTGGACACTTTTAGCCATTCTTTTCCTCTTTCTCTTGTTAAAAAATCATCCTGGTCGATTGAGTTTGGGCTGTTTTCATAGTGGCGGTCTGTCAGTTTTATTCGCCTGGTACCTCTTATACGAAATGCTGGACAATCAGTATTGAAGCATTCTTTCCTGTCTAAAGAGTTCTTGCAAATTTCTGGGTGAAAGAATTCACAGCTTTTGGTACATTTACCCGTACTGAGGAGGTGGGGAAAGTGAGGGGGGGGGGGAAGGGGCTGCGCGGACGATTGATGTAACGACATTAGTGACGTTTGCTTGTTTTAGTTTTGGAGTTCTGTTTTGTTACACCTACCTTTCTGGGTGCCAAACCCCCAGTCGATGGCAGACATGGGACGCTTCCAAACACATGGGGGTTTCCATAGGCCACTGCTCCTCGTGCCTCTCTAAGAGGGCCAAGTTCTGGCTCGTGATCCGCGATAAATAAGAACTCCATTGACTGATGCCACAGTCTAATACAGTACAGACATATCAGCCTGGTAAGCTCTCGGTAGCCGTAGGGGCTCCCCACAAAAAGATCTCCGTTTCTTGCTGAGCTCAAATGTAAAATTATTGCAACAAAAGCTACTGACTACTGCTGACCTGTAGTTTATCACTGAGCAGTGGCAAAGAGCTCTATGCTAAGTAAGATATCAGTGAGAATCAAATGTGTCCCCCAAAATACATTAACACTTTCGCGCTATCTGGACGCGCCGGCGAGTTCGGTTTCGTCTAACGTAAACGCATAGTGGACATAAAGTTATGTCTACTTTTAAAATATTTGTATAAAATTCAATTTTTATCCGATTTACTTTGGGTTTGTTTCAAACTGCGTGCTATGAGGCTCTCTTTCTCACCACTAGGCTGCATGGTACAATAAGTTCATGAAAGGTGTGGATAACTTCGATCAAATGGTATTTTGTCCCAAACGGGTTGCAGGTGGGTGACTTTAGCCGTTTATACTGGTAATTCTTCCCCCAAATCATGTATTATATGCATATGTCTGTTTAGGGAATTTTATTCCGATCAATATACAACCAAAAATAACTGTGTGCAACAAGTATAATCTTGACAAACATAACAAAAGTAAAAATATTTCGTGTATGTTTGACGCTCACTGATATGTTCCAGCGTTGTTTTATATTTGTCGCTATTCTAACTTACGCTTTGTTGATATTTTTTACCTATGGGCACATAGAACATTCTATTGCGAACACATTGACATAAAAATGAATGACGTACATAGAAAATTAATGTCATGAGAGTGAAATAAGTATAAACTTTCAAAGCGCCGTGCGTCGTCCCGTCACCGATACCGGGTAACAATTTCACCACTTCCCACACTCTTGCGGGCGGGCTGCATCATTATTCTACGCTTATATTCATATCACCGTGTTGGGAATTTCATTGCGAGTCCATTGATACCAAAATTAACGCTGTAGAACAAGTGTGGAGGTGATTACAATCCCAAGAGTAAAAACATTTTGTTGCTGATGGGCGCTCACGGCGAGTCATCTACGTAGTTATTTATTTGGTGCTGGTATCCCTATATGTTTCGTGACTTATTTTACTAATGTTCTTCTAGAGAATTTTATTGCGAACACGTTGGTACCAAAATGAAATACGTAGCATGAGAACTAAGGTCAGAAGAGTAAAAAGAGTATACACATTTTTGTTTTTACGCTTAAGCGATAAAAACGCAGCGCGCACATTCGGTTGGCTGAGTGACCTTTGCGGAGAGCGCGAAAGTGTTAAGTGACTATTAACCCTTAAACAGCGCATATTGGCCCGGAAGCGAAAAATATTCCAAATATGTAAAAATAACTTGAAAATGTTAAACAAATCTCCAACTTATTAGCTTCAGTGTCGTGAAACTTTCATCAGAATATTTTCAGAAATTGATTTTAGACAAATTATTTAAAAATAAGAACGTTTTGTTGATAAGAACAGCTCTAATTAACTGGAACTGAGGGATAACGCAGTAATAAAGAGATGCAAGCACCTGTCCAATGCACAAAAAAGAAGAATAGCAGTAAGAAGTGTCCACAAAATGGCTATGCAGCTGGAGACTTTACAGCATTGCTGAGTAATACATAATAACACAAATAATAATGAGTAACTATGTTATTATGCTCTATTTTGTTATATATCATATAAATACATTGTCCAATGTAATATGTTACTTTCATTAATGTCCCAAATTAGTTTATTTTTAAGATTTTAGTTTTATCTCCATTGTTTATTATCTGATTTTGCTGTAACCTTTACATCCTGAAGAGTGCATACCTTTCCCTAACTATGTGAAGTTAGAATGAAATTGGTCAACAAATAAATCAGTCACAACTTGCAGAACTTGGAACTTTGAATTTTTTTTTTTCCAGAAACTAAAGAGGCAGATTCTTTGCCTCTTTAGGTTGTTTTGATGATTAGGGATCATATTAAGGCTTTTTCACTTATATAAAGTATACTCTAAATATATCCCCCTAAATCATTATAATTATTATAATTACCCCTATTTTTTTTTTTGGGGGGGGGGGGGGAGGTTATTTCTTCTTGACTTCATTTCAACACATATTGACCTACAACTTTCACATATTCGAATACGAATGCCAAACAATGTTTATTAAAACATACAATTAAATTAACGAATTAGAACTATCTTTATTCATTCTCGATAACTTCAATTATCTCTGAAACTAGTTTCAAATTTGAGTGGCTTCTAAAATTACAGTTTTTTGACTGATCCTCACCATTTTGACACATTGTGTGCTCAGCTGTCTGTTCTACAATCCCTTCAGAATGGATTTTTCATAAACCCTATACATTTGGAGTTATAATTGTTTTGGTCTAAATTTGCCACATATTTCAAATGCAATATTAACAATTTTGTTACAGTAAACTATACTGTACTGAAAACCCATATTCTAATTTGATGAAAATGAAGATCATATGCTATTCTGAGAGAATAACAACACCAAATGAAAAATTGGTAATAGTTTATAATTTTTATTCCGGTTTGAAAATCTTAAGTTTTCAATACTGTATTCAATTTTAAAATCAATTTTGATTCTCTTGTTTTTCAAGTTACATTGTGATCATTTAGACAAAGTTGCCTAGTTGATTACGAACAAAAATTTAAGGGTTTGTGCAAGTTTTAAAAACTTGAGGTATGTCAAATTGTGTATGTATATTTTGCGCGGTTTAAGGGTTAAATGAAAATGACAAACTGAGAGAAAATTATATAGCAGATAAAAGTAAGAATAAATTTCATGAACAAGCTGGCACTGACCGATTGTTTTGAACACAGCTAGCAAGAAATCAGCAAATCAATGATAAAAGCGACACAAGCATCTAAGGATTCTCCCCAAACAAGGAAATTTTAGGGTTGTTATTTTCTAGGATGTCAAAATTAAAAGTAAATCAGTGGCAACAAGAGGATATTGTAAGTGAATTCAAGAAGCTAAATTTTGAGAAATAAGTAACACTCCAGATCAAATGATCAAACCCCCAGCTATGCAGTATTAACTACAAGCAGCAAAATAACTGATATTATAAGTGAAACTGACAATTATACTCACGTAATTACTGCATGTGATTCATTACTTTCCTTATACAGAATGTTTACATTCATCCATCCCTTGGGCCAGATAGAACGAACCTCAGAATCTAAAAACCTTCGTATATTCTCCTCAGGAGTTTCTGAGCGCTTCCTTATCATTTGCCAAAACTGGACTCTTACATTCACAACATCACACAGAAGTTTTCTAAAGAATAAAAAAAAAAAAAAAAAAACAGTATTATTCTATAAGCTACTAACTGATTATATAAATTACAATTTAAATTATGAATCTGCAAGTAACCATGCAGGAAAAGGTATATATATTACTGTACTACGTTTAATACAAATGATAATAACGTGTAAAAATATATGAATCTTTCAGCGTGTTAAAAATTATAAGCCGAGGATAACCTTCTTACCTAATTTCTTCTGTGAATATAAATTTCTTCTTAGGGAGTTTGCTTTTCTTCTTATCACCATCTTCATTGTTATCGTCTTTGTTCTGAGTGATTCCATTTTCACCCCTGATTATAAAGGGGGAAACAAATGGTTAAAAAGAATCGATGTAGAGAATCTTAAACTATAAACTCCCAAACACATCCTGCCCCTTAACATTATACCAGTTTTATTAGATTTTTTATCCTTCCCTATAACTACTCATAATCTTTATTACATTCCAACCCACTAATCAAGTGCAAGCTACCTTAGCAAATATTAGTTCACCATAATCTTGGTCATCCAACACTTTAACTAGTAGTGCATTATGAAAATGGCAAATGAAGATTTTCCTCTTTTAAGTCTTGATTATTTTATATTTTCTTTTCACCAGCTTAGTCTAGGACCTCAAAACAGAGTGACAAGTTCTGTAAATACCAATACTCACTATCTCTATGATTATTAATTTAAAATGTAATTTGCATCAATAGAAGCAAAAATATACAACTTTATCAATAGGGAAGCAAAACTATTACAGATAATGAAGACTAAATTAAAGTTATGCAAGATGTTTTGCATGGGAGTGAGCCAACAAAGGTAAAAATGGAAGTGAATGAAGGCAGGGGAAAACTTTGCTGAAAATCCAACTCTACATAGCTAATATGTCTCTGATTACACAATATTCCCCAAATCTGACCAAGTTAACCTCACTTATTCTGGGAAGATATCTTGACCAAGCATTTTCCATAATGTGTAGCCATCTTAGTAATAAAGGAATAGAATAAAATGTATTATGGATTTCATACATCATTCTCATAAGTTTAATATTTTGTTCTTTAATTTCATTTTCCACACAAGTAGTGACACGACACATTAAACTGAAAGTCCTAGATGCAGAACAAATAAAATGGAACCTGATAATTTAGCTTTTTCTAAACTTGAGACTGAGTTTCAAGGTCTATACATTCAGAGGTGCTGCCCTGTATATGTAGCCCTTCCCTAAGATATAGCAATAACCCCAACTAATGTAAATAAAGCATACATACAGTGAGATAATTGTCTTCCAGTGTTTTTTGATAACCAAGTTATGGAGCCAACACCAACATGACTAAGGTTTTATGTTGACATCTAAATAATAAAGAGGTGCAATTCATATTTTAACTCTAAAAAACCAGGAATAAAAATAATGTATTCCTTGCTCTGATATCTCGATAATATACTTCAATCTATTAGATTTCAATACACACATACAGTCACAGGAGTAAGAAGGAATTTACTGTTAAGACTATTTACAGTAATGTAATGAAGCACCAAACTGTACAATAAACTGTATACTGTATTAAAAAAATAAAAATAAAATTAGAGATCAGAAGTGGGAGGAAATTACAAGGCCTAAATGCTATGACAAAATGTTCTACAGGCAAGACTGCTGTAATGGTAGAAACATAAAATAGATTGGATTAGTGAGCACTAAAGGCAGTTAAACATAAAACAAAAAGAATTACTATTTAATCAGATTCAAAACAAAAGTAAGCTTTGAAGCAATATTAACATGTTTTGTGAAATCATCGGGTTTGGATGTAGCATAATCTTTATTCACCTGTCTTTTAACAAATAATGTACTCAAATTGTGCATATGCATTAATCATGAAATAAAAATGCAAAGAACTTTAAATGTATGAAACTAAAAGTGCATTCAGGCTAATTATTAAAAAATAAATGTCAATGTTCTCATTAAATCTGATTTCAGCCAATAAAAAACATTTTGTCATAGTAAACAAAACATTGCTCATTATTCTCCACTAGTTTAGTGAAGGAATTTAAAAGATTTGGATTATTCCCAAAGATAAACCATCTGACTGTCAAAATGGAAGAGTGCAGCATTTTTGTGTATAACAAAATGTCTAGCATTTTTGTGTAAAAAGGAAATGAAAATAAAAAAAGCCAGACAAGTTGTACCTGGCCCCTGTGCACATGCAGATTGATTTATTCTCTCTCTTCTCAACATTATTATATATACATATATATATATAAATATATAATATATATATATATATATATATATATATATATATATATATATATATATATATATATATATATATATATATATATATATATATATATATATATATATATATATATATATATATATATATATATATATATATATATATATATATATATATATATATATATATATATATATATATATATATATATATATATATATATATATATATATATATATATATATATGTCGTACCTAGTAGCCAGAACTCACTTCTCAGCCTACTATTCAAGGCCCGATTTGCCTAATAAGCCAAGTTTTCCTGAATTAATATATTTACTATAATTTTTTTCTTATGAAATGATAAAGCTACCCTTTTCACTATGTATGAGGTCAATTTTTTTTTATTGGAGTTAAAATTAACGTAGATATATGACCGAACCTAACCAACCCTACCTAACCTAACCTAACCTATATATATAGGTAAGGTTAGGTTAGGTAGCCAAAAAAAGCTAGGTTAGGTTAGGTTAGGTAGGTTAGGTAGACGAAAAAACATTAATTCATGAAAACTTGGCTTATTAGGCAAATCGGGACTTGAATAGTAGGCTGAGAAGTGAGTTCTGGCTACTAGGTACGACATATATATATATATCTATATATATATATATATATATATATATATATATATATATATATATATATATATATATATATATATATATATATATAAGCACCACTTGGTTTCCGAACTTTAGTTATCCGAAACTTCCAGTTTCCCGATTGGGGTTGGGGAGTCATGCTTCCCGAACAAAGTTCGGGTAGGAAGGGGTCCGCCAAGCGTCACGCCGGCTTGTGGTGGTGGGTGGGCGATGGTCCAGTTTGCCCACTGTGACTTCACAGATTCACGGCCTATTATTCCGATTATTTTGAATTGCCATAAGGCTGGAATGTTCATTCTGTGCTTTTGTTTTACATATCTGCACAATCAAGAAACATCTGTGCACCATGTTGGCTCCAAATGCACGCATTGCGTCAGTGATGGCTGACTGGTGGGTGGATGGACGATGGAGTTTAGGTGGGAGGCAGTATGAATGAGGGGGGGGGGAGAATCAGTGAGAGAGGGGGGGAGAGAGATGCTAGGAGGGAGGGGGAGGTAGGGAGAGATGTTAGGAGGTAGGGAGAGATGCTAAGAGGGAGGGGGAGGTAGGGAGAGATGCTAGGAGGTAGGCAGGAAGGGATGGAAGTAGTAGTGAGAATTAGGGAGGGAAAGGCAGGCTGGCAGGCACAGGCAGGCAGGCTGGCAGGCACAGGCAGGCAGGCACAGGCAGGCAGACAGGCAGGCTAGCTTGCAGGCAGGGAGTGAGTGGTAGTCACGCGGTTGAACCGCGTGACCTTGAGAGATGGGATGTAGGGGGGCGGGTGGTTTGTTGGTGGTGGGGGTGAGACCGGCTCATTCCCGAAGATAAGCCTAACACACACTACCCGTTAGCATGATGGCAGGGAGGGAGGCAGGCTGGCTGGAAAGGAAGCAGGCTGGCAGGCTGGGAAGGAGGCAGGCTGGCAGGCTGGGAAGGAGGCAGGCTGGCAGGCTGGGAAGGAGGCAGGCTGGGAAGGAGGCAGGCAGGCAGGCTGGGAAGGAGGCAGGCTGGGAAGGAGGCAGGCTGGCAGGCTGGGAAGGAGGCAGGCTGGCAGGCTGGGAAGGAGGCAGGCTGGCAGGCAGGGAAGGAGGCAGGCTGGCAGGCTGGGAAGGAGGCAGGCTGGCAGGCAGGGAAGGAGGCAGGCTGGCAGGCTGGGAAGGAGGCAGGCTGGGAAGGAAGAGGCTGGCAGGCTGGGAAGGAGGCAGGCAGGCAGGCTGGGAAGGAGGCAGGCAGGCAGGCTGGGAAGGAAGCAGGCTGGCAGGCTGGGAAGGAGGCAGGCAGGCAGGCAGGCTGGGAAGGAGGCAGGCTGGGAAGGAGGCAGGCAGGCAGGCAGGCTGGGAAGGAGGCAGGCTGGGAAGGAAGCAGGCTGGCAGGCTGGGAAGGAGGCAGGCAGGCAGGCTGGGAAGGAGGCAGGCTGGGAAGGAGGCAGGCTGGGAAGGAGGCAGGCTGGGAAGGAGGCAGGCTGGGAAGGAGGCAGGCTGGGAAGGAAGCAGGCTGGGAAGGAAGCAGGCTGGCAGGCTGGGAAGGAGGCAGGCAGGCAGGCAGGAAGCGATATATGGGTGTTGAAGTGAGCCGTGAACCACGTGACCTTTGAGAGAGTGTGTGTGTGTGTGTGTGTGTGTGTGTGTATGGGTTTGGGGTGGGGGGTGGGGGTGGTGTGTCGGTGGTGGGGGGAGAGGGGGAGGTGTGTCGGTGGTGGGGGGAGAGGAGGAGGTGTGTCGGTGGTGGGGGGAGGGGGGAGGTGTGTCGGTGGTGGGGGGAGAGGGGGAGGTGTGTCGGTGGTGGGGGGAGAGGGGGAGGTGTGTCGGTGGTGGGGGAGGGACCGGCTGACTCCGTAAGCCTAACCACACTCCACAGACCTGTGACCCAGATTTGTTTCTTAAATGTACAGTACATCATCGTAAATTTTAGGCAGGATGTTCCTGCAGGCTGGCAGGAAACATCCAGAGGATGTTTGCCAGACGTCTTAATAATCAGTTAGGAACAATTAAGGACTTTTATAAAGCGGATCAGGACTTCACTTATTGATGAGTACAATCAAAACACGGTCGCATTTACGCCATGAACCTGACGATTTTTTTCCCTAGAGTTTTTTTTCATAAATTTTTCGGAAAAATTTCTTTTTACATTTCTAGTTTATTTTTTCCCCTCTATTTCTCGTATACGAACTTACATGTTAACCGACGGGTCTCGTCCCCAAGGGGTTCGGAAACCAAGTGGTGCTCTGTATATATATATATATATATATATATATATATATATATATATATATATATATATATATATATATATATATATATATATATATATATATATATATGTATTATATATATATATATATTCAACCGTTCTCGCAAATTCGTAAAGTCAATATTGACTTATTAAGTACGTGCATAGGTGATATACTAAACATAATAGATACCCTTAAAAAGATTCATAG